CCAGAGATGCATTTTAAATAAAAGCACACATTCTACTCATGTAAAAACACCAGGCAGGCCCATTTTAAATAAAAGGAAACATTCTACTCATGTAAAAACATGCTGATTCCCAGACAGTCCGTGGGCTGGATTTAGAAGGCGATTGGGCCTTAGTTTGCTGTGCAGTGATCCCTCTTGCTGTTCTGGCTTCTGGGATAGCTGTGCAGCCTGCATTCGCTCCATAAGACGCACACACATTTCCCCTTACTTTTTAATAATATTTTTTTATTAATTTTAACATATAAATTATAAAATGTACCACAAAACTTATCACTTATACAATTTTTTTGGACTTCCATCAGCACCTCTGATGATCCACCGTTTTAACCACTTCTTATGCATTTCTTAACTTTATATTGCCTTTACATCTCTTAACAAATCATCCTCCCCTTCTCCATTTTTGCAATACTTCTAATAATACTCCTCACAAAACTTCTTGCAACCCTACAAACGTCGACCTTTGTTTTTCACAATTACTTTTCAAATAGTCCGTAAATTTACTCCAGTCTTCTGTGAATTTCTGGTCTCGCCGGATTCGAATCCTTCCTGTTAGTTTATCTAATTCTGCATAGTCCATTAACTTCCTCCTCCATTCTTCAATCGACGGTACCTCTTCTTGCTTCCATTTTTGGGCCAATAATATTATTGCTGCTGTTATTGCATATAAACATTTCCCCTTACTTTTTAGCGGGGGGGGGGGGAGGAGTGCATCTTATAGAGCGAAAAATATGGTACATCCAAGAATATAAGAAGGGCCATGGAACATTCATTCTCCACTACAACCTTGGTTGGGCAGAGAGACCGTGAGTGGTCCAAGGTCACCCAGTGAGCTTCTTGGCCAAGCAGGGATTTGAAGCCATCTCTCTCCCAGGTCCTAGTCCGACACCCTCGCCACTGTACCACGCTGCCTCCCAAAGAGGAAGCCTGCCCACAGGAGCTCATTGCAAAAACAATGCTCTCATTGCCTGTGTTTTTAGACACGCCCATCCATATACAGATATAACAAAACATCTAATGAATGCAGGAAATGCAGAAAGTTGGGAACAGGGTGCTCCATTGTGAAACCCTGTTTGGTGTCTTGGGTTATCTGAGGTGTGTTTCTGAAATGAGAAGGTAAGACTCACATGGAGGAGCTGTGAAGTGATGTGTGAGCCATAATTATGAGGCAAGGCAGTGATGGATAACTCTGTCATTTCCCCAGACACGTGAATTACAATCAACAGGCTTATACGCAAGAGATGGATGAAGGAAACCTCGTTTTATTGTCAAGGAGGAGTAAGCAAAAATATTGGGTCATCTCCAATGACGTGCTTTGCAGAGTGGAAGAATTAAATTAAAGAACCCAAGTTAATCAAGCAGAATACAGTGGTACCTTGGTTCTCAAACGCCTTGGTACTCAAACAACTTGGAACCCTAACATTGCAAACCTGGAAGTAAGTGTTCTGGTTTGGGAACTTTTTTTGGAAGCTGAACGTCCTCTGTTTTGAGTGCCACACTTCCATTTTGAGTGTTACACTGAGGTCCATCTGTTTTTGCTATTTATTTTGTGTTTTTGCGGCTCTTTTTTGTTCTGTTTTTGTGACTGTGTGGAACCCAGTTCAGCTACCAACTGATTGATTGTGTGACTGCAGTACATTGTTTATTGCTTTCATTTTATGGATCAATGCTCTCGTTAGATAGTAAAATTCATGTTAAATTGCTGTTTTGGGGGTTGTTTTTAAAAGTCTGGAACGGATTAATCCATTTTGCATTACTTTCCATGGGAAAGCGCACCTTGGTTTTGGAACGCTTTGATTTTGGAACGGACTTCCGGAACGGATTAAGTTTGAGAACCAAGGTACCACTTTAGCTTTTACTGTGCTAATATGGCCCAGGGCATCACAATCTGGAGAATGCATGTAGAATCTCACTTGATGGGTGCTCCCTTCTATGAGTGCACAAAATAGCAAATTACATAATATTTCAAAAAAGAGCCATTTGTGTTCCTATATCCAAGACCCTTTGCTTAAAGTCATTTTATTTTATTTTTTGGTAACCAAATATTTCCGTAGAGCAAGTGCCCTCAGTTCCTCTGGATTGATCATAGAATGCCTATCTTCCTTCACCTGCCCATTCATTTCAATGGGCCTTCTCTGAGTAGGGCTGGCGTTGGATTCAATTCATTATTGCTGAGATGCAACAGGAAGGGGTTATTTTGCTCCCCACACAGCTGTAGGAAAGGGAAAACATAGCTCTTGATTTATGGAAGTGAAATGTTATATTATGAGGTATTCTGATAATTTAGAGCAGACTTCCGCAACCTCAGCCCTCCAGATGTTTTGAGACTACAATTCTCATCATCCCTGACCACTGGTCCTGCTAGCTAGGGATCATGGGAGTTGTAGGCCAAAAACAGCTGGAGGGCTGAGGTTGAGGAAGCCTGATTCAGAGCCTGAAATAGGAATAAAATGTGGTCTAAAAAGAACCAACTAATTCAGTAAAGGAGGAAGTAGGAGGTTCCTTGGATTTTGATGTTTCAATTTGTATATTAAGGAGTTACTATAGCTATGTTAGGATTAGGTCACATTTTGACAATATAAATGTTTTAAGTTTTTGTATCAAACTAGTATATATTTTATTGAATGACATGGTATACATTGCAGCAGCCTTTGGCTATAAGCAATAAACTTGACTATTTAAAGAGGTATCACGGTGCTTTGAATGTATGGTGTGATTGTGGCCTCTGTGAAGCTCCAGTCCATGCTTACAGATAAAGTAAAGGTAAAGGACCTCTGACAGTTAAGTCCAGTTGCAGATGACTCTGGGATTGCGGCGCTCATCTCGCTTTACAGGCCAAGGTTGTGTCGAAAATATTAATCTCACCAGTTAAGAATGTCAACACCTATTCCTGACAAAGGAAAGAAACTGTGCCAGAAGCATGGTGGCCAGAAGGTGGTGCTCATCTCCCACTAATATGCTGCAGTTATTTGTCCTGGTGGCATTCCATGATCTCATAGAGTTGGAGTAGGGAACTTGTGACATTTCAGACACTGCTGGACCCAAACTCCCATCAGTACCAGCTAGTGGTCAGGGCTGATGGGAGATGTAGTCCAGCGACAGTTGGAAGCCATCAAGTTGGAAAAGGATGGGCCAGACACATCCCTCTGGAAAGCTCATAAACATCTGTTGTTTTTCTTCCAACATCTGGTACCCAAAGGTGTACTGCATCTGAACCTGGAAGTTCCATTTTGTCATATTAGCTAACAGCCATTCTGACTTGTCCCCCCCCTCCCGACGAGAATTGTAGTGTTAGAACTGACCACAAGGTTCATCTAGTACAGTGGTTCTCAACCTGTGGGTCCCCAGATGTTGTTGGACTACAACTCCCATCATCCCTGAGCTCTGGCCTTGCTAGCTAGGAGTGATGGGAGTTGAAGTCCAACAACATCTGGGGACCCACAGGTGGGCAAAGGCTGATCTAGCACAAGTCCCTGCAATGCAGATTTTTTCTTCTTTGACCAGTGTGGGGCTTGAACCCATGAACCCAAGATTAAGAGTCTCATAATCTATCAAGTGAGCTACCCAGGTCCTTATCTCCTTTTCCCATCCCCTCTTTTGTACCCTTCAGAGATAGCATTCATGGGAACAGCAGGACCAGAAAGGAGTCCGAGAATTAACTGACCCAACCCTCTTTGCCAAGGCAGATTCTGCTCCACCCAAATAGCTGGAGACATCTTGCTCCTACTCAACGCACACCTCAACCCTTACAATTAGCACTGACCTCTAGCCCTTCCTTGAATTCCTGCCCAGGCATGCACACGGAAGCTTATACCCAGAACAAACTTAGTTGGTCTCTAAGGTAGATGGACGCGGGTGGCGCTGTGGTTTGAACCACAGAGCCTAGGACTTGCCGATCAGAAGGTCGGCGGTTCGAATCCCCGCGACGGGGTGAGCTCCTGTTTCTCGGTCCCTGCTCCTGTCAACCTAGCAGTTCAAAAGCACGTCAAAGTGCAAGTAGATAAATTCCTCTGGTGGGAAGGTAAACGCCATTTCCGTGCACTGCTCTGGTTCACCAGAAGCAGCTTAGTCATGCTGGCCACATGACCTGGAAGCTGTATGCCAGCTCCCTCAGCCAGTAAAGCAAGATGGGCGCCGCAACCCCAGAGTTGGCCACGACTGGACCTAATGGTCAGGAGTCCCTTTACCTTTAAGGTGCTACTGGACAATTTTTTAATTTTTATGGAAGGATTCTTTTAAAGACTTGTTTATATATATTTTTTTAAGGACTTGATTCTTTTAAAGGAATTTTTTTTGGAAGAGTTTTTAAAATAATCTTTTTCAAGATTTTTATTTATTTCTTTTGATTACGGCAGACCAACACGGCTACCTACTTGAATCTCTTTTCCTTTATGCATTGCTCAAGGAATGCCTTTTAGTGCAATAGCTAGTGATATCACATGTCTCTCTAAAGTGTGTGTGTGGGGGGGTTGTCACTGATGTTAGTCCTACTCAGAGTAAACCCATCAAAGCAAATGACTCTAAAGTGTTCTGTTCTATTAATTTAAATTAATCTGCCCTGAGCAGGTCTAACAGTGGATGCTGTCCCATATAGCTCCCATGTACGGTTCCTTGGGGGAGGGAAAAGGAGGAATGGGACCACCTCGTCACCCTGTAGATTGAAAAGTTGCAAGATTCCTCATCTGTCGTCTAATGGTTCCTTTCCACCTGTATCAGCAAAGGGGTTCAGGAAATATGAAAAGGACCTGTAGATGCCCTGGACAGATATATAGGACAAGGATAGGGAGTCTTAGGCTTGGAACAAAATGTGGACCTCCTTTCCTCTCTGTATGCCTTCTGAGACATGCCCCAGGCTACATCAATACCTAGCCACGCCCCTCTTCCCAGGTCACAAAGAAGGAACCAGCAGGCCAGCAGCTGACTGCACCCAATCATCAGAAAAACACGACTTTAGCCAATCAAGAGAATTTTATTTATGCCAAGGGAAAGAAAACAACAGGAAAAGCACAGAACTTCATTGCAGGCAGATAACGTTCAGGCACCAATGGTCCAGGTACGGTCCACTAAGAAACATTCACACTTCTCTGCAGTGGGCACAGTCTTTAGGTTTTTCAGGATCACTCAGGGGTTGATGGAGTGAAAAATGGTACATCATTTTCAGGATGTTTTCAAATTTAGAAGAAGACATTGACGGAAAAGGCTATTTAAGTGGTTCGGTATCGGGACCATCAGTCAGTCGAGGACGGCACCTGCAGCTTTCTTCCCTCTCACCACCTGGAAGGAAGAACCTTCTATGTAGATGATGAGCTCATCAATAGACATGGCCCAGAAGAGGCTATTACCACTCTCATGCTTTCCTGATGTATTGTAGTTTTGGAAGGGTGGGTGGGGGGGTTTGAATTTCTAGAGTAAGCTGCTTTGAGAGCCCAGCTTGGCTACTAATTGATAAATAAATAAATAAATAAATAAATAAATAAATAAATAAATAAGATCAAGCTTCCTTTGCTGTGGTTGCTCTTGCCAGCCACTCGGCCCAACAGCATCTCTCTCTGTAACATTATTGTGGTTGCAGCGACAGGATGATTTGGAGCCCATCTGATGGCTTGGAACAGGCAGGCCTTCTTCAGCATCTTTCCAATGGCGTAGAAGACTTCCTCCTCCATCCACCTGAAGATGAACCCCTTGGCTCAGCACATACTTTCCTATGAGCGGCATCCCGGCTCAGAACATACTCCTCTTCCTCCTCCGCATCCTGGCTCAAAACATACTCCTCGTCCTCTTCCACATCCTGGCTCAGAACACACTCCTCGTCCTCCTCCACATCCTCCTGAAGACCCAGAACACCCTGCTCCCCCAGAGGTTTGCAGCCCTCTTGAAGACCTTCTGCATCCCGGTTCTGAGCATACTGCTCGTCCTCTTCCACATCCAGGCTCAGAACACACGCCTCGTCCTCCTCCACATCTTCCTGAAGACCCAGCACACCCTGCTCCCCCAGAGGTTTGCAGCCCTCTTGAAGATCTGCCACATCCAGGTTCTGCGCATACTGCTCGTCCTCTTCCACATCCAGGCTCAGAGCACACTCCTCGTCCTCCTCCACATCCTCCTGATGAAGCAACTGGCTGGGCACAAGCCCCTCCTTGCCCACCTCCGCATCCACCAGCAGATCCACCTCCGCATCCACCACCAGATCCACAGCAGAACGACTCTTCATTAGAATAGTGCCCCCCTGTATTTCCATCACACGAATCGCCTATTGGACGCCCCCAGTAATCACGGGGTCCTCCTGAAGGATTGTGGACGCAGCAGGTCACTCTTGGGTTTCCCCCTTGTCTACAGGTGGAGCGCCGATAGCCGTAGCATCGGTAATTGTGGCCTCCTCTTCTCGGTACATCATCCCTGCGGTTGCAACCGGTGACACAGGCTGTGTTTACAACATAGCGAAATGGTTTGCGGCGGTTGTCCAACCAGGATCCAGCTGGGTCATACCATGTTGAATTCAGATTGAACCAGGGTTCTCTCCCAGAAGAGTAGATAACTCTATCGTTACACCTTTCTTCACACATCTGAAAGACACGGGGGGGGGGACAACACCTCATTAGATCAGAAACAAAGATTTCTTCTCTTTCTCTGAACCACCAAAATTATGTATCTGCCATTGTCTTCTATGTCCATCTATTCTTGAATTACAAGTATATGATGGAAGTGCATGGATGATGTTTCAAGTATAAAATAGCTAACTTTGCTCTTAAACATGGAGAGAAGGTTAATCAGACTTCCCCAATGGGAAGGGGGAGCTCTTTAGATCAGGCTGGGAGGACTTGGTGTTCTTCAGATGTTGTGAGTACTCTGACACCCACCAACCCCAAACAACATGGTCAGTGATCAAAGATGGTGGAGGTTGTAGTCATAAGACCACAGGCTAGTGGCCCTTGTAGTTCTATATCCAGTTCTCACTGTGGCCAACCAATGCTTCTCGAAAGCCCACAAGCCGGAACTGAGAGCAACCCCACTTCCTGTAGTTCGTCATCTAACAACATCTTGAGGTCCAACAGGTTCTCCACACCTCATCTAACCACACAGTTGATGGCTGATGTGGTCCTGTTCTGCTTGTGCCTTCATGGAGGCACCTGGCTTTTCACCTTTTGGAAACAGATTTGGGCAGCGGAGCCTGGTATGTCAGGCAATCTCTAAACTGGTTGCAGAAGGGGAAGCAGGTGTATAATGAAGGTGCCAGGTGAACTTCCCGGGGGAGGGCATTCCACCAACGGGGAGTCAATACAGGAAAGGTCCGTTCTCATTTTGCCACCCTCCGGACCTGTCATGGAGGATGCACACCAAAAAGGGCCACAGAAGATAATCTCAGGGTCTAGGCAGGTTCATATGGAAAGAGGTTGTCCTTGAGATATTGTGGTCCTGAATCATTTAAGTTCCACTTTAACTTGTGGAAATGTACAGCTTCTTTCTCTGTCTCGGGGACTGAGCATTCCTGCCATCCACTCCCCTCCAATCTTGTCCAGAGTGCAGAGAATAAACAAATCCACAACAGGAATCCCTGAATGGCTCCGTTCCTCATTTCTCCAGGATCCTGATTCCCAACCCATAGAAACATAGTGTAGGACCTAAAAGGTAATTAGCACTGATACAGAAAACCCACTGCTTCAGGGCATCCATCCATTCATTGTTTCAAAACCTCAAACACCACCATCTGAGTCCACTGTTTTTTCCTGATATCCTGATGGTGTAGCCCCAATCTGAACCACAGTATTCTAGTTAACACTGATAGCAGAAGTCTCGAAACTAGCACTGATAACTAGCACTGATACAGAAAACCCACTGCTTCAGGGCATCCATCCATTCATTGTTTCAAAACCTCACACACCACCATCTGAGTCCACTGTTTTTTCCTGATATCCTGATGGTGTAGCCCCAATCTGAACCACAGTATTCTAGTTAACACTGATAGCAGAAGTCTAGAAACTCACTCAGAGCAAAGTGAAGACACAAGCACCAGCAGAATCTGACTTACCTTAACAAGTGGGGAGAAGACAGCTGGTGAAGAGGCAAAGGCCAGTGAGGGAATAAGGACTCCTGGATAGAGAGGCCCTTTTATATAGTTCTAAACAGTCCTCCTCCCTATAGATGATACAGGAGCCTGGGAATGGTGGGTCAGTCCAAAACCATGGACCCAAGAAGACCATGTCTGCATACTACAGCAGCCTCATTTGCACCTGATCCTTGACACGTTATGTAACCATAATTCGATGGATCAAGATACATCTAATTAGTAGTCACACCAGTTCCATGATACTAATGATAAAGCATGTGGCTTCTATAAAGATCAAAGAGCTCTTTGGGAAATGTATGGGATGCTGGTTACAGTGGTTGGATGGTAGCCCTAATGACTCAGAGATGAAGCTGTAGGAGATCAATGTCTCCACATCAGCACCAGGCAGAACCATGCTGAGCTCCTTGCCACACAGATTTGTAGTACCCCGTGCCTGCTGATAAATGGATTATTCATCACTGCTCATGTGGATTGAGATTTGAAGAATGGGAGTTCTCCAGGGTGGCTCATTTATATGGATTTTCAGTGGGTCACTCTGATCTCCAGATTTGCCTTTCCCAATCTGCTTCCCATCCTGATAATGTTGGATTCCCATCATCCACAGCCATCATAGAAATAGGTGAAGGATCGTGGGATATTGAAATCCAATAACATTTGGAAGACCACAGGGTCCTAATTCCTAAATCAGACAGCGCACATCTAGCTAGTGATATTTTTAGGTAATTTCAGACTTTGAGCTTAATAGTGTTATGGTGGGTGAGGTGAGATCTTTAGATCAGGAGTGGTGAATCTTGTGCCTTGTGGATGTTGTTAGACTTCAACTCCCTTCAGCCCCAAACAGTATGGTCAATGGCCAAGGGTGATGGAAGTTGTGGTTCAAACAATCTGGTGGGCATCACATTGGCTTTCACTGGGCTAAACCAGTGGAGGGCTTTGGTATCTGTGGTCCTCTTTATATGACTCCTGGGATAAACAGTACAAATGTATGCAATGATGTATTGCGATAATTTTAGACTCCAAACTTCATGGTTTTACGGGGTTTTTTTTAGGTTAGAGCCTTAGTCATCATGGACATAGATTAGGGTATCTGTGTCTCTTTGTGTGTGTATGTACACACTCTGCTTAGAAAGATATGGGCACTTTATGAATGTTAAATGATAATAACCATCGAAAGCACATAATAGTTCAGCTGGTTACAACATGGGTAGGCAAACTAAGCCCCGGGGGCCAGATCTGGTCCAATTACCTTCTAAATCCTGGAATCAGCGTGTTTTTACATGAGTAGAATGTGTGCTTTTATTTAAAATGTATCTCTGGGTTATTTGTGGGGCATAGGAATTTTTTTATTTTTATTTTCAAAACACAGTGGTACCTCGGGTTAAGTACTTAATTCGTTCTCGAGGTCCGTTCTTAACCTGAAGCACCACTTTAGCTAATGGGGCCTCCTGCTGCCGCCATGCCACCGGAGCACGATTTCTGTTCTCATCCTGAAGCAAAGTTCTTAATCCGAGGTACTATTTCTGGGTTAGTGGAGTCTGTAACCTGAAGCATATGTAACCAGAGGTACTACTGTATAATCTGGCCCCCAAAAGGTCTGATGGACAGTGGACCGGCCCCCTGCTGAAAAAGTTTGCTAACCCCTGGGTTAGAGCATGGTTCAATCCCTCTATGGGTCAGCTGCATATTCCTGCATTAACATGGATTGGACTAAATGATCTTCAAGGTCCCTTCCAACTCTACAGTTCTATTATTATAAATAAGAATGGGTTAACGTGCTATTGATTATATGATATATTCAGGGGTGTTTTTTCCATAGTCATAATTATTCTTATAATTGCTCCACCACATTTCAAATTGGTAAAGGTCTTTGGGGTCGGGTAAAGGTAAAGGGACCCCTGACTGTTAGGTCTAGTCGCGGACGACTCTGGGGTTGCGGCACTCATCTCGCTTTACTGGCCGAGGGAGCTGGCGTACAGCTTCCGGGTCATGTGGCCAGCATGACTAAGCCGCTTCTGGCGAACCAAAGCAGCGCACGGAAACGCCGTTCCTTCCCACTGGAGTGGTACCTATTTATCTACTTGCACTTTGACGTGCTTTCGAACTGCTAGGGTGGCAGGAGCTGGGACTGAGCAATGGGAGCTCACCCCGTTGTGGGGATTCGAACCACCAATCTTCTGATCGGCAAGTCCTAGGCTCTGTGGTTTAACCCACAGCGCCACCCACGTCCCTTTGTGGTGGGTAGAACCACCAAAAACAATTAAATAAATATGAGAACATAAGACGAGTCTGTTTGATCAGGCCAATAGCTCATTTAGTTCAGCATCTTCAGCTCACAGCAGCCACTCCAGGTGCCTGTCAGAAACCCACAAGCCGAACCTGAAAGCAAACCCCTTCTCCTGTCCTGTAGTTTCCAGCAACTGCCATTCAGAAGCATCTCTTCCTCTCCCCATGGAGGCACCCCATACCCACTGTGGCTTGTAGCTATGCTAGTCTTTGCTCCATTCATTTGATTTATTTGGTAAGCCTGAGAAAAATAAAGGACAGACCGGAGATTAATTTTGTTTATGGAAGCATTGTACAGAGGCTGTCCCTGACCGATATGATTTTTGGAAGAGTACAAAACCCACACAGAATGCCAGTTTTCAACCTGCTTGTGAAAATCATCAGAGATCGCAAAGAAAGGAATATACGATAACAACAAGAAGAGAAAGGAAGTAATAAAGGACTATCCGGATCAAAATGGATAGAACTGTCTAATTAAAGCAGTAAGATAAGTGATGCCTGTTTTGGACTCGTGCGGAGCTTGATGTATGGGTACCCCCAACAAAATTTAAAATTTGGCTGTATAATTTGGAACTAATGTGATATGGATAATGTGATTGGCCTGTTAATAAAATTATTTTTTTTAAAAAATAGTCTTTGCTCCATTCATTTGTTCAGTAGTCCCCTTTTAAAGCCATTCAAGTTGATGGCCATCGCTGCCTCTTGTGGAAGGGAGTTCCATAGACTAACTATCTGTTGCATGAAGAAGAATCTTCCACATTCAGCTTCGCTGTATGTTCATGAATTCTAGTGTTATGAAACAGGAAGAAACACCTTTCTCACTCTACTTTCTTCATGCCATGCATAATTATATAAGCTTCTATCATTTCATCATTTAGTCTTTCTCTCCCCCCACTAAACTAGGAAGTCCCAGATGCTGCAACCTAAATTTCTAAATTTGCATTTCTATATATAAATCGGAAGCTTTAAGTTTATGGAGGTCTATGGCCTTCCAGATGTTGCCAGATTTCAACTTCCATCACTCACTTTTAAAAAAGTCTTTATTTATATTTTTGAAGTTTATACATTTCATTAGTGTCAGGGGTTCAGGAGCAGAGGCACAAGGGAGAGAGGAGATGTAGAGCGAAGGGGAAGAATCTGAGGGCAGCGGAGGGGAGAATGACAGTGACCCGAGAGATTCCATGAGCTTCTCCAGCGAATCAGAAGATTCCCAGAGGGGAGCGCCGATGGTCAGGGCAAGGGGGGTCCCAGGGGGGACGCACCAGAAGCAAGGGGCCAGCGGGGACTCCCAAAGCAGTAGCTGGAGATCAGGACCAGCTTCCCCACCAGAGCGTAGCGGGGGGGAGGGGTCCCATGTGTCAGGGCCAGCGTCCCCTCCAGCAGGGAGAGAAGATGAGTCAGGGCTGACCACGCCTCTATCGGAGAGCGGGGGAACGGAGGGGAGGTCAGATCCAGCTAGCCTCCCCGAAGGGGGGAGCAGTGACAGGAGCAGTGTAACGGTCAGGAGGAAGGTGACCGGCTGAGCGCGCGCGCCAAGTTCGAATGTACAGGCGCGCGGGACAGCAGAGAACCCGGATTGGGAACCAGGTCCTAAAGCCTGCCGGAGGCAGGGGGAAGACTCAAGTGACTCAGCGTCAGAAGAGTCTAGGAAGGGGAAGACCCAAGCGGACAGGCGGACCCAGAGGAGGAAAGAGGAAAGGAAGAGGTGGAGCAAGGCTAGAGTCTTAAACTGGTGTCTGGGGGGAGGAGACTCAGACGGAGCTTCGGCGGTCTAGAGTTGGAGACGTAGGGCTGCGCGCCGCGGCTGTGAAAGCGAAACTGAGCTTCAATAAAGACGGTTTTATATTACAACGAACTGGCGTTGGTCCTTTGTGAGCTGGGACCTAGGGCAGCTCTGACAATTAGTTTTACAATCAATTTAACATTTCAAAGTTTGGCTTCCTCCCCCTTCTTTCTACGGTTCCTTAAATTCATTTTTCAATATCTTCTGCATATCCAAATTTATTTAATTTGCTCATTTAATTATCTACTTCACATATATACTCTTATGAAACTGCAGGTTATTACAGTAATCCTGCTAATGTTTTTATCTGTTTGCAGTTTATCTGTAAATATTCAATAAACCAGGCATAGCCAAACTTGGCCCTCCAGATGTTTGGGGACTACAACTCCCATCATCCCTAGCTAACAGGACCAGTGGCCAGGGATGATGGGAATTGTAGTCCCAAAACAGCAGGAGGGCTGAGTTTGCCTATGCCTGCAATAAACAATTTCCACTCTTTTATAAAAAGTTTGTTATCTTGATTACTTATTCTTCCGGTAAGTTTCACTATTTCTGAATATGCCATAATTTTTTATATCAATTTTCCTTTAATGGGATTTCTGCTTCTTTACATTTTTGGACAAGTAACATTCTTGCTGCTGTAGTAGCATAGATAAATTAATTTCAATACAATTTTGGTTGTTTCTGCCCCTATAATTAACGAAAGAACAGCTTCTGGGTTTTTTAAAAAAACAAACGTTATTTTCAACTTCCCTCACTCCTGACCATTGGGCCATGCTGAATGCTGGGGCTGATGGGAGCTGGAGTGCAGAAACATCTGGAGCACTGCAAGTTTTCCATCCACATGGATAGCAAATCTAGGAAGTTGATCAAAGTCCTGGTGGGCCAGCATAGATGGCCAGGGAAGTGTACTCAGCTGGAAAGATCTAAGGTCAGACAAATCTGCCTTTTTTCCATGTGACTCATAAGTGGAAGCGTACATAGTAAGTATGAGTCACTCCTTAGCAACATGACAATTATCAGTTGCACAAGATGTCACCATTGTAACATATGAATTGGGCAATGAGTTGTTGGGATGCTTCAAAAGCAATTAGTGGTGGCAAGCAAGAGACATTCGACTTAGCTACATTATTAAGAAAGCAGCGTTTTCAATGCATTATAAACATGACACACCAGAGGGCACTGTAGAGTAAAAAATAATTCTATGTGATTTTACATAGCAGTTGTTCCCTTTTGATATAACAATTTAATTTCTGATTTACATCAATCCCTAGCCACACCCATCTTCCCCGGCCACAAAGAAAGAACCAGCAGGGCAGCCACTGACTGCACCCAATCATCAGAATAACACAACTTTAGCCAATCAACAGAATTTTATTTATGCCACGGAAAAGAAAAACAGGAAAAGCACAGAACTTCATTGCAGGCAGATAATGTTCAGGCACCAATGGTTCAGATATGGTCCACTAAGGAATGTTCACACTTCTCTGCAGTGGGCACAGTCTTTAGGTTTTCAGGATCACTCAGGGGTTGATGGAGTGAGAAATGGTACATCATTTTCAGGATGTTTTCAAATTTAGAAGAAGACATTGATGGAAAAGGCTATTTATGTGGTTTGGTATCGGGACCATCAGTCAGCCTAGGACGGCACCTGCAGCTTTCTTCCCTCTCACCATCTGGAAGGAAGAACCTTCTGTGTAGATGATGAGCTCATCATTGGAACACTTCCTCTCCATCCACCTGAAGATTAACCCCTTGTCTTAGCACATACTCTCCTATGAGCGGCATCCCGGCTCAGAACATACTCCTCTTCCTCCTCCGCATCCCGGCTCAAAACATACTCCTCTTCCTCTTCCACATCTTCCTGAAGATCTAACGCTGGACTCGGAACACACTGATCCCCCAGAGGTTTGTGGCCGTCTTGAAGACCTTCCACACCCAGGCTCAGAACACACTCCTCGTCCTCCTCCACATCCTCCTGAAGACCCAGCACACCCTGCTCCCCCAGAGGTTTGCAGCCCTCTTGAAGATCTGCCACATCCAGGTTCTGCGCATACTGCTCGTCCTCTTCCACATCCAGGCTCAGAGCACACTCCTCGTCCTCCTCCACATCCTCCTGATGAAGCAACTGGCTGGGCACAAGCCCCTCCTTGCCCACCTCCACATCCACCAGCAGATCCACCTCCGCATCCACCACCAGATCCACAGCAGAACGACTCTTCATTAGAATAGTGCCCCCCTGTATTTCCATCACACGAATCGCCTATTGGACGCCCCCAGTAATCACGGGGTCCTCCCGAAGGATTGTGGACGCAGCAGGTCACTCTTGGGTTTCCCCCTTGTCTACAGGTGGAGCGCCGATAGCCGTAGCATCGGTAATTGTGGCCTCCTCTTCTCGGTACATCATCCCTGCGGTTGCAACCGGTGACACAGGCTGTGTTTACAACATAGCGAAATGGTTTGCGGCGGTTGTCCAACCAGGATCCAGCTGGGCCATACCATGTTGAGTTCAGATTGAACCAGGGTTCTCTCCCAGAAGAGTAGATAACTCTATCGTTACACCCTTCTTCACACATCTGAAAGACACAGGGGGGAAAACAACACCTCATTAGATCAGAAACACAGGTTTCTTTTCTTTCTCCAAACCACGAAAATTATGTATCTGTCGTTGTCTTCTATGTCCATCCATTCTTGAATTACAAGTAGATGATGGAAGTGCATAGGTGATATTTCAAGTATAAGGGAGCTAACTTTACTCTTAAACATCGAACAGGAGGTGAATACGCCAGTCTTTCCCAATGGGAAGGGGGAGCTCTTTTGATCAGGCTGGGAGGACTTGGTGTTCCTCATATGTTGTGGGGACCTCAACACCCACCAACCCCAAACAACATGGTCAATGATCAAAGATGGTGAGAGTTGTAGTCATAAGACCACAGGCTAGTGGCCCTTGTACTTCTGAATCTGGTTCTCACTGTGGCCAACCAATGCTTCTGGAAAGCCCACAAGCCGGAACTGAGAGCAACCCCACTTCCTGTAGTTCGTCATCTAACAACATCTTGAGGTCCTCCAGGTTCTCCACACCTCACCTACCCACACAGTTGAGGGCTGATGTGGTCCTGTTCTGCTTGTGCCCTTCATGGCGGCACCTGGCTTTTCACCTTTTGGAAACAGATTTGGGCAGCGGAGCCTGTTATGTCAGGCAATCCCTAAACTGGTTGCAGAAGGGGAAGCAGGTCTGAGTTCTCTGAGAGCAGACTCAGGTTTCTGGGACTTTGCCCTATTAGCTCCAATGACCCAAACTCCACCGCTTTGATAATTCTTTATATAAAATTGCACTTATTTTATTTATTATTACATTTGTATACTGCCCTATGCCCCCAGGCATATACATAAAAACAAAAAATATATACATAATAAAAGCATATATCGTACCCTCCCCATTTCAAAAGGGCACTGGATGTCAATCAGCCAAAGATCTGTTTTTTGCCTGGCACCTGGCACCTAAAGGTGTATAATGAAGGCGCCAGGCCAATTTCCCTGGACAGAGCATTCCACAAATGGGGATCCATTGCAGAGAAGGCCCGTTCTCATGTTGCCACCCTCCAGACCTGTCATGGAGGAGGCACACCAAAAAGGGCCTCAGACGATAATCTCAGGGTCTAGGCAGGTTCATATGGAAAGAGGCGGTCCTTGAGATATTGTGGTCCTGAGCCATTTAATTCCACCTCAACCTGTGGAAATGTACAGCTTCTTTTTCTGCCTCGAGGACTGAGCATTCCTGTCACCCATCCCCCTCCAATCTTGTCCAGAGTGCAGAGAATAAACAAATCCACAACAGCAATCCCTGAATGGCTCCCTTCCTCATTTCTCCAGGATCCTGATTCCCAACCCATAGAAACATAGTGTAGGACCTAAAAGGTAACTAGCACTGATACAGAAAACCCAATGCTTCAGGGCATCCATCCATTCATTGTTTCAAAACCTCACACACCACCATCTGAGTCCACTGTTTTTTCCTGATATCCTGATGGTGTAGCCCCAATCTGAACCACAGTATTCTAGTTAACACTGATAGCAGAAGTCTAGAAACTCACTCAGGGCAAAGTGAAGACACAAGCACCAGCAGAATCTGACTTACCTTAACAAGTGGGGAGAAGACAGCTGGTGAAGAGGCAAAGGCCAGTGAGGGAATGAGGACTCCTGGATAGAAAGGCCCTTTTATATGGTTCTAAAACAGTCCTCCTCCCTATAGATGATAGATGAGCCTGGGAATGGTGGGTCAGTCCAAAACCATGGACCCAAGGAGACCATGGACTCATGACACCTGATCCTTGAAACGTTATTTAACCATAATTCGATGGATCAAGATACATCTAATTAGTAGTCACACCAGTTCCATGATACAGATGATAAAGGATGTGGCTTCGATAAAGATCAAAGAGCTCTTTGGGAAATGCATGGGATGCTGGTTACAGTGGTTGGATGGTAGCCCTAGTGACTCAGAGATGAAGTTGCGGGAGATCAATGTCTCCACATCAGCACCAGGCAGAACCATGCTGAGCTCCTTGCCACACAGATTTGTAGTACCCCGTGACAGCTGATAAATGGATTATTCATCACTGATCATGTGGACTGAGATTTGAAGAATGGGAGTTCTCCAGGGTGGCTCATTTATATGGATTTTCAGCGGGTCACTCTGATCTCCAGATTTGCCTTCCCCAATCTGCTGCCCACCCTGATACTGTTGGACTCCCATCATCCACAGCCATCATAGAAATAGGTGAAGGATCGTGGGATATTGAAGTCCAATAACATTTGGAAGACCACAGGGTCCTAATTCCTAAATCATACAGCGCACATCTAGCTAGTGATATTTTTAGGTAATTTCAGACTTTGGGCTTAATGGTGTTACGGTGAGATCTTTAGATCAGGAGTGGTGAATCTTGTGCCTTGTGGATGTTGTTAGACTCCAACTCCCTTCAGCCCCAAACAGTATGGTCAATGGCCAAGGGTGATGGAAGTTGTGGTTCAAACAATCTGGTGGGCATCACATTGGCTTCCACTGAGCTAAACCAGTGGAGGGATTTGGTATCTGTGGTCCTCTGTATATGACTCCAACTCCTTTGACCACTGGCCATTGGCTGTCCTGCTTGGGGCTGATAAGAGTTGGAATCTAACAGCTCTAGGAGGGCGAAAATTCCTCTGTTCCTGGGATAGACAGTACAGATGTAGGAAATGGTGCATTGAGATAATTTTAGACTCCAAACTTCATGGTTTTACAGGAAGGGGCAGCTCTTTAGTTTAGAGTCCCAGTCATCATGGACATAGGTTAGGGTGTCTGTGTCTCTTTGTGTGTGTGTGTGCACACTCTGCTTAGAAGGATATGGGCACTTTATGAGGGTTAAATGATAATAACCATCCAAAGCACATAATAGTTCAGCTGGTTAGAGCATGGTTCAATTCCTCTATGGGACAGCTGCATATTCCTGCATTGAAGGGGGTTGGACTAAATGATTCTCAAGGTCCCTTCCAACTCTACTGCTCTATTATTATAAATAACAATGGGTTAACATGCTATTGATTATATGATATATTCAGGGTTGTTTTTTCCATAGTCATAATTATTTTTATCATTACTCCACCACATTTCAAATTGGAAAAAGTGTTTCAGGTGGATTAGAACCTGTGGAAAGGAGTTGCAGAGTTTAACTATCTGCTGCATGAATCTTCCAACATCCAGCTTCATTGAATGTTCATGAGTTCTCGTGTTATGAAACAGGAAGAAAAAACTTTCTCTCTCTACTTTCTTCATGCCATGCATAATTATATAAGCTTCTATCATTTCATCATTTAGTCTTTCCCCCCAACTAAACTAGGAACTCCCAGATGCTGCAACCTAAATTTCTAAATTTGAATTTCCATATATAAATTGGAAGGTGCAAGTTTATGGTGGTCTATGGCTTTCCAGATGTTGCCAGCTTTCAACTTCCATCACTCCTTTTTTAAAAAGTTGTTATTTATACTTTTGAAGTTTATACATTTCATTAGTTTTAAAATCAATTTAACATTTCAAAGTTTGGCTTCCTTCCCCCTCTTTCTGCTGTTCCTTAAATTTATTTTTTAATATCTTCTGCAAATCCAAATTCATTTAATTTGCTCATTTAATTAGGTAAAGGGACCCCTGACAATTAAGTCCAGTCGCGAACGACTCTGGTGCTGCAGTGCTCATCTTGCTCTACAAGGGAGCTGGCAATTGTCCACTTCTGCAGATAGTTTTTCCGGGTCATGTGGCCAGTATGACTAAACTGCTTCTGGCGAAGCCAGAGCAGCACACAGAAACACCGTTTACCTTCCTATCTACTTGAAATATATACTCTTATGAAACTGCAGGTTATTATCAATCAATCTTTATTACGGTCCAGAGACAATAATCTTGCTAATGTTTTTATCTGTTTGCAATTTATCTGTAAATATTCAATAAACCAGGCATAGGCAAACTTGTCCCTCCAGATGTTTGGAGACTACAACTCCCATCATCCCTAGCTAGCAGGACCAGTGGTCAGGGATGATGGGAATTGTAGTCCCAAAACATCAGGAGGGCTGTTTGCCTATGCCTGCAATAAACCATTTCCACTCTTTTATAAAAGTTCGTTATCTTGATTTCCTATTCTTCCAATAAGTTTCACCATTTCTGAATATTCCATAATTTTTTGTATCGATTCTTCCTTTAATGGGACTTTTGCTTCTTTCCATTTTGGGGCAAGTAACATTCTTGCTGCTGTAGTAGCACACATAAATAAATTTCTATACAATTAAGGTAGTTCTGTCCTTATAATTCCCAAAAGAAAAGTTTCTGGGTTTTGTTTTTTTAAACAAAAGTTATTTTCAACTTCCCTCACTCCTGACCATTGGGCCATGCTGAATGCTGGGGTTGATGGGAGCTGGAGTGCAGAAACATCTGGAGCACTGCAAGTTTCCCATCCACATGGATAGCAAATCTAGGAAGATAATCAAAGTCCTGGTGGGCCAGCATAGATGGCCAGGGAAGTGTACTCAGCTGGAAAGATCTAAGGTCAGACAAATCTGCTGTTGTTTTTCCATGTGACTCATCTGTGGAAGTGTACATAGTAAGTATGAGTTACTCCTTAGAAACATGACAATTATCAGTTGCACAAGATGTCGCCATTGTAACATATAAATTGGGATGCATCAAGAGCAATTAGTGGTGGAGATAGAACTAATTGGAGGCCCTTCGCGTGAGCGAAACATGTCCAGCACATCTCGAGATGATCATCCACGCTGCGGACGCTATTAGCCACACTCAGAAAGCAGAAATTCCCCCGTGCTTCGGCATGAGGTCAGCTGAGCAATGTCGTCACCATCAATTCACATGAAACATTGCTCACTCATTCTCTCTCTAGTTTTCTGTTGACTCCACCCCGATTTTTAAATGTAATAATAATAATAATAATAATAATAATAATAATAATAATAATAATAATTCATTTATTGCCCACCCACCTGGCTGGGTTTCCCTAGCCACTCTGGGTGGCTCCCAACAGAATATTAAAAACGCGATAAAACATCAAACATTAAAAGCTTCCTTAAATAGTGCTGCTTCTAAAAGTTGGATAGTTTTTATTTCCTTGACATCTGATGGGAGGGCGTTCCACAGGGCAGGCACCACTACCGAGAAGGCCCTTCTGCCTGGTTCCTTGTAACCTCATATCACGCAGTGAGGGAACCACCAGAAGGCCCTCAGAGCTGGGCCTCCATGTCTGGGCTGAGTGAAGGGGGTGGAGACGCTCCTTTAGGTATACTGGGCTGAGGCCTTTTAGGGCTTTAAAGGTCAGCACCAACACTCTGAATTGTGCTCAAAAACGTACTGGGAGCCAATGTAGGTCTTTCAGGACCGGCGTTATGTGGTCTTGGCAGCCACTCCCAGTCACCAGTCTAGCTGCTGCATTCTGGATTAGTTGCAGTTTCTGGGTCACCTTCAAAGGTAGCCCCATGGAGAGCGCACTGCAGTAGTCCAGGTGGGAGATAACCAGAGCATGCACCACTCTGGCAAGACAGTCCGTGGGCAGGGAGGGGCTCAGTTTTATACTAGATGGAGCTGGCAGACAGCTGCCCTGGACACAGAATTAATCTGGGCCTCCATGGATAGCTGTGAGTCCTAAATGACTACCATCCTTCCAGTATGAGTCTTCCAGGGCTATTTTTCAATTCATTCATTGCCTTCCCCCATATGTCCAAATAAAATGAACAATAAGATGCACAATAAAAAACAAACAAGTGAGACACAGTGGAAAACAATACATATAACAAGAGGAGGGGTGTGTGTAGGCGTGAGAGCCAGTGCGGTGTAGTGGTTAAAGAGTGGTAGTCTCGTAATCTGGGGAACCGGATTTGCATCTCCGGTCCTCCACATGTAGCTGCTGGGTGACCTTGGGCCAGTCACACTTCTCTGAAGTCTCTCAGCCCCACTCACCTCACAGAGTGTTTGTCGTGGGGGAGGAAGGGAAAGGAGATTTCTTCTTCTTCTTCTTCTTCTTCTTCTTCTTCTTCTTCTTCTTCTTCTTCTTCTTCTTCTTCTTCTTCTTCGTGTGTGTGTAACACCAAATGGAGCTCCATGACCTGATGAAAACAAGATATTTCTACCTAATATTATTATTATTATCATCATCATCGTTGATTTATTAATCACTTTCTAAGCGAGCAATTTAGGGACGCAGGTGGCGCTGTGGGTTAAACCACAGAGCCTAGGACTTGCTGATCAGAAGGTCGGCAGTTCGAATCCCCGTGACGGGGTGAGCTCCCATTGCTCGGTCCCTGCTCCTGCCAACCTAGCAGTTCGAAAGCATGTCAAAGTGCAAGTAGATAAATAGGTACTGCTCCGGCGGGAAGGTAAATGGCGATTTCCGTGCACTGCTCTGGTTCGCCAGAAGCGGCTTAGTCCTGCTGGCCACATGACCCGGAAGCTGTAAGCCGGCTCCCTAGGCCAATAAAGCGAGATGAGCGCCGCAACCCCAGAGTCGGTCACGACTGGACCTAATGGTCAGGGGTCCCTTTACCTTTACCTTTAAACGAGCAATTTACACTAAAGAGAATTAAGGGAAGTTTAAACACAGAAACAACAAATATATTTAAAACAAGACTAAAACCATAACAAGTGTACGCTTGTGGTAAAGACTGAATGCATTCCCCAGTCCTCTGATTCAAACCATTCTCTGGCACTTGGAGTGTCTGAAGTAGTCATAACATACAGCAGACAACAAAGGAATATGATGGCTGAGATACTCCCATGCTACTCTGCACAACCCTTGAAGTGCTGAATCAATGTCCTATGACTCATGTGGGGACCCAGGTGGCCCTATCTCTGAAGGACACATGGCCCTACATCTCCCACTCCTTCATTCAGGTTGGCCTTTCTGGAGCTCATTCTAGCAAGCTGTGCTGAACTCTTACAGATCTCTACTCTACAAAACTGCAGCAAAGGGGGAAACTTTCAGGGCATTACACTTATTATTATTATTATTATTATTATTATTATATTATATTATATTATATTATATTAATTTTCACACAGGAAAAAATCGCTATAAATAAGTCAGAAATTTAATCGTTATAACAAATGAAAAAAATCGCTATGTAAAATCCTATAGAATTTTTTTTTTGCTCTTCAGCGCCATCTAGTGTTGCATGTTTAATAATGCATTCAAAATACTGTTGTTGTTTTTTTACTATTGTAACTGAGTCCCAAGAAGCAATTTTTAAATATCTTCAGGAATGGAAGGGAGAGCTACCCATAAGTAAATAAAAAAAATCAGTGGGAAAGTCCAATATGTTAATGTAGCCAGAATTGGACGCAGTGTGTCCAGCCCCTGGAAAAAAAATACCGCAAAGGCAGCTGCAAAGAGCTTTTTCTAGCTCAGTTCGTAATGTAAAACAGTGGCAGAAAACCATATTTTTGAGGGCTGCATTCTCTTCTTGGAAACTTTCTGTTGACCACATGCCAGTGGTGGGCAGGGCAAAAGTGGGCAGAGCTGTGAATGTAGATTGTACCTTTGAACAGTAATAATAATAATAATAATAATAATAATAATAATAATAATAATAATAATATAATAATAATAATAATAATAATAATAATAATAATAATAATAATAATAATAATAATAATTTATACCCCGCCCTTCCTGGTTCAATAACTAGACTAGTTTCTATCCACACACCCATCCACCATCCCTGCAAGCAAGAGACACTGGACTCAGCTACATTAGTCAAAAAGCAGCATTTTGAATGCATTAACAGCATGAAACACCAGATGGTGCTGTAGAGCAAAAAACTTTTCTATGCGATTTTACATAGTGGTTTTTCCCCCTTTTGATACAATGATTTAATTTATGACTTTTTTATAGTGTGGTTACACACACACACACACACACCCACACACACACACACACCATGTGTAGACACATTCCAGCGAGGCAAATACATTCAAGGCAGATGTGAAGTTTTGCTGGTGGGGGAGGTAGGGGTGGGTGGTTTTAGGAGAGCGAGTATGGAGAGGGTGTGGCCTTAAGAGAGTCCTGAAACTTGTTAGGTGTAAAAGGCAAAAGATTTATACGATCTGAGGAGAAGCCAGAGTAGGTTAAAGAATATTAGGAAATGATTTATAATGAGTTGAAAAGATTCCCAGCAACATTCCCAAAAAACCAGAGGTCTTTCTGTTAGGGATAGTTCAGAACAAAGTTCCCAGGGGTCATAAAATATTTATATATATATTTATGTATGCAACAAGAGTGACTTGAATTTTGTTAGCCCAAAGATGGAAAGTAAGGGAAGTCACAAGTAACGAAGACTGGCAACTCAAGATGATAGAATTCACAGAACTAGCAGGTTTGACATATAGAATAAGAGAGCAAGAAGTGTATTTATTTAAAGAGGAATGGAAAATCTTTGCTGAGTATTTGGAAAATAACTGTGTACAGCTGAAGATACTGGCAGCATTAAGATAAACTCAACAGTGTGATTAATATTTGAATGATGTAAATTGGAGAACTGACTAGAATGGTTACAGTAAAATATGCAGGAATGATAAGCAGGTTAAATGAACCATGGAGGGAGAAGGGGGAAGTCATTGGATATACAGTATTATGTAAAATGTTTGAGATGTATAATTTAAAAACTTAATAAAAACTATTTTTTTTAAAAAAGGGGGGGATTGTTAGAAGTTTCCTCTTATTTTCCTTGCAGAGTTACACCTCACAGAGTGGTTTAACATTCAATTCTAATAAAATAACTTTGTAAGAAATTTTATTAGAATGGGGGGGGGGATACAGAGAGTACTATCGGATACCTTTTTAATCAAAACTGAAACATTAAGCTAAATAAAAACAAAAATTGGAGAGAACTGAAGGAGCCAGGAGAAATGGGTTGTTTTTTTAAAATGGTTTTATTTTGTTGCATGCATACTTGTTCAAAGGATGAGGACAGTAACAGTAAATTAAATGTGTCCACACAAAAGATCTCCAATAAATATCAGCATCAATAATATATCTCCAATAAATATCAGCTTTCAACAAAGCACAGCAAATGCTAACATTTCCCATGAGCAAGAATATGTTATTTCGTAAGGACTACAAAACCCATGCTTCAGTGTGTGGAGTAGCTTATGCACTATGAGTCCCAGTGGCATGCGGTGAAATTTTTCATGGGAGAGCAAAGCCAGCTTGCGAGTGTGATGGTGTGTGTGACATCATATGTGTGACCATTGCACCTCCCTCTCTAAGCTAGGCAGAAGCTTATTGGGTTCTGGGAAGGAAGTAGCAGGCCTCTGACAGGATGCTGGAACCCTGCTGCCTCCATCCCAAAGTTGGGTGGATTTTGGGAAGGTGGTGGGAGGGCTCTTGGACCCTTGAGGGGAGTAGCCTAGTCTCCCTAGTCCACTGACCGCATGCCACGGATGAGTCACATACTTCAGTGTGGCCTTCAGCAAATGTCTCAATCTCAGCAGGTATAAGCCAAATCAAAAGGTCTTTCCAAATTTCTGATAGACCGCTGGGCTTGAAAGCAGCCGAATTCTCCAGGAAGGTGGAGCAAAATGATCAATTTCTTAAGACGCAGCTACGTAGGTGCACTTGAATTTGTCCTTACACATTGGGATCAAATGACTAATCATTACTAAGGAAGCACACAGAATATTGTGTGGTGAATTTATACCACCGGGAATTAACCACAAAGGTCTTCCTGCCTTAGAGGGCACAGGGGCCGTGGGGACCACAAGAAGGAAGGAAAGGAACATTTCTAGACAGATGAAAAATGTCCTCGTGAGCCCCTTTGCCTTTATCTATAGTCGTAGCTACTTCTTCAGAAGATGTGGTGGCGCTTGGCAGACTTGTTGTATCTGGCAGATCTCGGGCTCTCCAACCGGTGTGTAGGTCTGCTGAGGCGGCGGGCAGCATGTCTGGGCTGGAGGGCAGTACTGTTGGACGGGAGGGCAGTACCGTTGGACGGGAGGGCAGTACCGTTGGACGGGAGGGCAATATTTTTGCTGAGGCGGGCAGCATTTTGGGACTGGAGGGCAGTACTTTTGGGCAGGAGGACAATATTTCTGCTGAGGCGGGCAGTACTTTTGTACAGGAGGGCAGTACTTTTGGGCGGGAGGGCAGTACTTTTGAGCAGGAGGGCAGTACTTTTGGGCGGGAGGGCAATATTTCTGCTGAGGCGGGCAGTACTTTTGAGCAGGAGGGCAGTACTTTTGGGCTGGAGGGCAATATTTCTGCTGAGGCGGGCAGTACTTTTGAGCAGGAGGGCAGTACTTTTGGGCTGGAGGGCAATATTTCTGCTGAGGCGGGCAGTACTTTTGTGCAGGAGGGCAGTACTTCTGAGCAGGAGGGCAGTACTTTTGAGCAGGGGGACAGTATTGCTGCGATGATGTACCAGAGCAGTCCACCGCAGAGCTGGAGCTCACAGAGTGACAGGGGTCATATGATGCTCCCGATGGAGCACACGATGGCTCGGAACACACTGATGCGCCATAGTCATCACAGGAATCTTGATCATCTCTATACTGTGGAGGATACATCTCCTGGGAGTATGGACTAGACCTGGAAAAACGTGCAAGAATTATTATTATTATTATCATCATTACAACTACTGCCACCGTTGTGCTGTTGTTGGTCTTGGAAATATACCTTCCCTATAAGTTTCAGAGCTGATTACAAAAGCAAATGAAACATTTAATACACAAGCTTTAAAGCACAGATTAAAATGGGAGTAGGCAACCTAAGGCCCATGGGCTGGATGCGGCCCTTCTCAATAGGGCCCAGGGACGGTCTGGGAATCAGCGTGTTTTTCCATGAGTAGAATGTGTGCTTTTATTTAAAATGCATCTCTGGGTTATTTGTGGGGCATAGGAATTCGTTCATTTTTTCCCTTCAAAATATAGTCTGGCCCCCCACATGGTCTGAGGGATGGTGGACCGGCCCAAGGCTGCAAAAGGCTGCTGCCTCCTGGATTAAAACATCAAAACATAGAACACAAGAGCAGCATTCACACACCCTCCAATGCTCCTATTTTCCAGGGACAGTCCTGGATTTAGAGACTCGGTTTCTGATTTCATCCCAGAATGTCCTTTTTTCCCAGCTTAAAGGTAAAGGTAAAGGTACCCCTGCCCGTACGGGCCAGTCTTGACAGACTCTAGGGTTGTGCGCCCATCTCACTTAAGAGGCCGGGGGCCAGCGCTGTCCGGAGACACTTCCGGGTCACGTGGCCAGCATGACAAAGCTGCATCTGGCGAGCCAGCGCAGCACACGGAAACGCCATTTACCTTCCCGCTGGTAAGCGATCCCTATTTATCTACTTGCACTCGGAGGTGCTTTTGAACTGCTAGGTGAGCAGGCACTGGGACCGAACAACGGGAGTGCACCCTGCCGTGGGGATTCGAACCGCCGACCTTTCGATCGGCAAGCCCTAGGCGCTGAGGCTTTTACCCACAGCGCCACCCACGTCCCTTTTCCCAGCTTAGGACATCCCTATTTTCATCAGAGAAATGTTGGAGGGTATGCATTCATGGTACAAAGGACTCCTGAAATAAAACTATTTTAAGCTACCATCTGAAGCTCAGCAAAGGATGGTTCCTGCCTGGTTCCTAACAGGAGGCTATTGGACCCACAGCACTGAAGGCACAACTCCTCACTGACGTAAGACATGCTTCTGATTTAAGCTATTTGTACTGGTATATGGCATAATTAAGTGGTGCACATCAAACTGAAAAAGCATGCAATGGAAAAGATCAATCAAACTTATTAACAAAAGCAGAAAATGTCCTTAGAACACTTGCTGAAATCGGAAAGTCTTTTTCCAAGAGCACTACAATTTAAAGAAATTCAAAGAAATTGGAAAAAGACTTTCCGACACTTATTGGGGGAAATGGCTCTGCACCCTTTTTTATCTGCTCCATCTGTTAATACATTGTTCCACCCAGTGCTTTTTTTCTAAATAAATGTTTAGGGGTACTAGAGGCAGTGTGGTGTAGTGGTTAAGAGCGGTGGACTTGTAATCTGGTGAACCGGGTTAACTTCCCCGCTCCTCCACATGCAGCTGCTGGGTGATCTTGGGCTAGTCATACTTCTCTGAAGTCTCTCAGCTCCACTCTCCTCACAGAGTGTTTGTTGTGGGGGAGGAAGGGAAAAGGAGAATGTTAGCCGCTTTGAGACTTCTTAGGGTAGTGATAAAGCGGGATATCAAATCCAAACTCTCTCTCTCTCTCTCTCTCTCTCTCTCTCTCTCTCTCTCTCTCTCTCATTTTGACTCAAGAAAATCACCATTTTATAATTCAAATCGGGAAAAGTAAATACAGTAAATGGACAAAAGTACAAAGAATCACAAAATGTTTAGGGGCATGCGTACCCCTGTGTCCCCCAAGAAAAAAAAAAGCATTGGTTCCACCAACAGAGTGAAGGATTCAGGAGCAAAGTTCTTGCTTTATATCAAGAGTGGGGTACCTCAGGCCCGGAGTGGAGGGAATGCAGCCCTCCAAAATCAGAGGTTTCTACACAGAAACACACATACCCATGTCTCCATCCTTCAACTAGGCAAGCAAGAAGCATTTTTCAGCCCGAAGGCAAGTTCAAGCTTAAGAACACTACTCAACGAAGGCATACAGGAGAGCTGTTGAGCTGGGGTTGGGTGGGTGGCCCAGAGAGGGTTTTGAGGGCCACACAGAGAAACCTGGAAGGCCACTTCTTCCTCCTCTGGGCCTGACGTTCCCCATTCTTAATGGAAAGGAAGATCTTTTCCCCTGGATCCTTCACCTTTTCGGTGGAACAGTCTAAAATCAACCATCTGGAGCGGTTGGAACAGGCTGGGGTACAGAGTTTCCCATTAAGCATCTGAACAAATTGTAGTGCTCCCACAGTAATAAACTGGTCCATTATTATATCGTTGCACAAGCTATTAGCAGGAAGGAGTGGAAGGTGCACCATACTCAGCAAATTCCTTCAGAGAATACAGTATTGGCTCGAATATAAGCCGCAGTTCAACTTTTCACGGTCGGAACTTGGAAAAAAAAGCGTGGCTTATATTTGGGCCAATACGGTATATTCGGCCAAAAATGTATCCATCTGGCTCAAGCAATGGAGTCAAAGCTAGTGCTGAGTGAAGCTCTGAGTTTCTTCTGGGTTTCTCATGTTCCCCAATTTATGTTCAGTTCTGCAATTTGCACATCTGTTTGCAAGTATGATTATGATTGCTAGGCCTCATGAAAATTCATCTGAATTTTATTACAAACACAGGGTGCTGTTTCGCCAGAGCATTCCCTGCAAGGAACATGCTGGCAAAGCAGAGCCTTGCAGCCAGCAGGATTGAATCTTGCGGTCACCAGCCAGATTCCTTTCATACTTTGGCCATATTGTTGTTATTGCTATTATTATTATTATTATTATTATTATTATTATTATTATTATTATTATTATTTGAGGCATTTGTACCCTGTTCTTCAGCCAAAAACATACAATCAGCATACATACAATCAAAACAAGAGAGTCCCTACCCGTAGGATTACCATCTAAACAAAAAATAAAAATAAAACACAGCACACAAGGGAAAGGGGACTGGGAGGGAAGAGGAAAACAAAACTCAGAAACCAGTTTCTAAACAGTTGCTCCTATAATGACCAAATGCCGGCACAGTTCAGGGGCAGGAGCTGGGCCTCCAGCAAAGCTGATTAAATGAGCCCTGCTTCCTATCTCTCCCACAGAGGCAGCCTAATGGAATGTCTGTCCCCAGGTGATAGCTGAGATGAGAGGAGAAGGCCTGTTGGATCCGGCCTGTCACAGCAGAACTGGTGGACCGAGCTCTGCTTCCCAGCTCCCCCACAGCACAGCCCTACCAATTCCATTTCATAAGATTCAGAACACCAACAGTCTTCACTCAATGCCACCCAACGAATGGCACATTGGAAAAAGGGAATTTCAATCCAGGTCCCTCCTCGGCTGGAACCCTCCAACCATCTCAGGGAGCCTGCTCCCTTAAACCATGTAGTCCTTACCTAGCAAGATGCCTTATACAGTGGTACCTCGGGTTCAGAACTTAATCTGTTCTGGAGGTCCGTTCTTAACCTGAAACTGTTCTTAACCCGAGGTACCACTTTAGCTAATTGGGGCCTCCTGCTGCCGCCGCGCCACCCTGTTCTAACCCTGAAGCAAAGTTCTTAACCCGAGGTACTATTTCTGGGTTAGCGGAGTCTGTAACCTGAAGCTTCTGTAACCTGAAGCGTCTGTAACCTGAGGTACTACTGTACTCAGTGCTATTTTTCTAGAAAAAGAGGTGCCAGAGCTCTCAATGAATGAAGTTCTCTTATACAGTGGTACCTCAGGTTACAGACGCTTCAGGTTACAGACACTTCAGATTACAGACTCCACTAACCCAGAAATAGTACCTCAGGTTAAGAACAGTTTCAGGTTAAGAATGGACCTCCAGAACGAATTAAGTTCTTAGCCCAAGGTAAGGCAATGGTACCCACCTGAGAGTGGCAGGAACTGAGTTCTGGTGAGTTCCTTCTGAAAAAAGTTCTGCTTATACTGAGTCAAACCTTTGGTCTACCTATCTAGCTTAGGATTGCCCACACTGGCTGGCAGAGGCTCTCTAGAATTTGTAAATCATTCTTAGATGCTTTTAACTGAACATGTCAAGGGACCGGACCTGGGACCTTCCACATGAAAATCTCTAGAGCTGAGTCCTAAAATAAGATTCCAGTCCTCATGCATTCTAAGGGAAGGCCTGATTTAAATAGGAATACAGGAAGTTGCCTTACACCAGTGAGTGGCTGTGGGTCATCAGGCTTGGGGACAGAAGTTTTCCACAGACTTTCCTGAAAGCACTGGGGATTCAACCTAGGAGCTTCTGAGGGAAGAGCTGGTGCTCTGTCACTGAATTGTGGCTTTTTCTCATTGGGAGTCCTCAGTAACAAATTCAAATTAATTCCCCATTTGTCAAAGGGAGCAGAAGGTTAAGCTGTGCTCAGCCACAATTAGGTGACATCATGGCTTCACTCACCTGAAGCCACAAATCCCTTAAACCACAACTTAAACCAAATCCCTTAAACCACAAAGCCGTTATGGGTTGTCGGGGATTGGTTGGATGACAAAGAGTGGCGGGAGGCCCAGCTGAGGAACTCCTTAGGGAAGCCAAGAAGAAGAAGAAGAAGAAGAAGAAGAAGAAGAAGAAGAAGAAGAAGAAGAAGAAGAAGAAGAAGAAGAAGGTTCAGACCCAGGGGAGTGGAGGTGGGACCCAGAAGACAGATCAGAGAAGGGAGGAACCTAGGAGGTAGAAGACACAGAAGGCTTGAGTGAAGAGTGAAGAAGGCAGGGAGTTCTCCAAGTACAGGGCTGGGTGCAGAAGGACCCACTCTGAGTGCAGGGTCTGAAGGAGAGGACAGGGAGAGGTCAGACACTGCCTGGTCCCTCTGTCTTGAGCTCCCCTTCCCCTTTGACTCTGAGGTCATGTAGAGCATTACATGTAGCTAAACAGAAAGTTAGAAAAGTCCAAGGAAGGGGCCCTTCCTTCCTCAGAGTTTCTGTTTGC